CATATTAAGGGCTGTGGACGGGAGGTGCGTCTGTGCGTCAGACTTTAGGGGGCTCTTTCCTCATTTGCTTCGGAGGGCACCTGCCTCAAGAGAGAAGTGCTTCCCAATGAGTGCTGAAAAGTAATGCTCACAAGGGCTTACATTGATTAGCTGTTCACGCAAAATATCTCCAGACTCATTAACGGCACTCTCTTCATATAAGTGGTGCCATTTGCATGGCAGAATCCACACTGACATGGCACTGCCCCTGTATTTGAGTAGGGTGGCTGGCAGACTCAGGTCTCAGATTTTAAAAGCTTGTGAGCATTTTTCAAAGGGTGCTGTCAGATCATTATGTCGTACTCTAAAGATAAATTGAGAATTTGGTGGTACTAAGCGAAACAGTTTGACAGAATGAGAGAATGATCTTAACGCTGGGTTTGGCTTTGTTAGGTTAAACCATTCGTTTAATGTCCACTTGTTCATGAAACAAGCTCCAGAGTCCTTTTTATTCAATGATCTTGTGAAGTGCACAATGAGAATCAGATATTTGTGATACCTTCCTCCTAACTCTGATGTCCTGTGGTGTAAAAAAAATCTTTTCATTGCTTTTATTTTAAATTTTAAAATACGAATTTCACACATTTTGTATGTTTATTTATTTATTTGTTTATTATTTTTATTTATTTATTCATTATTTTGAGCTTGATGATCATGTTCTCCATTATGATTTGAGAATGATCCAAAAAGCATCTGTGCTTCATAGGAAAAAGACGTCTGACTATATTTTTTGTAATCAAAATGTCCTAATGCAATCTTTAGTTAAAGGGGTCATATGATGCTATTTTAAAGATCATTATTTGTGGTTGACTCTTAACTTTTATAAAGAATATCTCTTTGGATTTGAGACTTTAGTCTTTGCAACTTTACAGATCTTCTTTATGCACCAAGAGCTTGTAACGCTCCAAAGAGAAAGGAAAACTTGAAATCGCATCATATGACCCCTTTAAAACAACCAACCCAAACTCATTGGAAAAACATGATATTTCTGCAAAATATTACATTGCTTCTTGCACGTTTTTTGACAATTTCAAAGTAAAATGTCCAGTGAGTGGCACATGTTTTTTGTGCATGAAAAAACATGTTTTTTTGTTTTGTTTTTTGTTTGTTTATTTCTGAAATAGATGAACGTCAATCTGGCAATGCTTTATTACTTTGATTGTTGTACATATCACAGCAGTTCAGAAATGAAATGTCCGGTTAGTGAGGCTAAATCTTAATGCCCTATTGTGTTCGGAATAATATACCAAACCCTACCCTAAACCTAACTGACAGAGTTAACCAAATCAAACGGTCTCTAGACTGCGACCAGGGCTGGACAATAATTCAGTATCAATATGTATCACGATATAATTTTTTTCAATAACGGTGATATGATTTTTAAACACATTTCCGATATTTCTTTTTTAACAAATGGTGTAAAAAAGGATGCCACATGTACCTTTACTTTGGTACCATGTCAATACTAAAGTGATTTTAACGATAACAGTATTTCTACTATTTCAATTCGGCACTCGTATGCAGGCTTCTTTTGAGTGCTTGTATACACACACATCATGAAGAGCATTCACACCCTGTAAAAATATGGTAGGGCTGGACAATAATTCAATATCAATATGTATCGCGATATAATTTTTTTCAATAACGGTGATATGATTTTTAAACGCATTTCCAATATTTCGGTATACATTACCAGTGTTTCCCATACATTGATTTATTTGTGGCGTTTGACTTCATTGAATAAACATGAGCACTGCACGTTTCAAAATCAAAACAGGTCGCGGTTGTTTTATATGCATGCATCTTTGAAGGGAACCGACTGTCTTCAGAAAAGTTTCGATGGCATTTTCATTTTATCTTATAAAGAAGCGTTCATGAGCGGAGCTGATTTGATTACAGCCGCTACTGGAGAAACTGCTAGATCTACCGCTCTCAAAGCGCCTCCTGCTGGCAGACAATCAGTTTGCATTTTCAATAAGCCCGTCTCCAGCAACATGTTTTTGTCGTTGCTCTTTTTATTTATTTATTTTTTTTCTGCAGCAACTCAAGAGCACTTTTCATACTCTTTATACTGGCCAAAGCACATTTGTTTCAATCTATAAGAATAATCAGCCTACACTACCAGTCAAAAGTTTTTGAACATTAAGATTTTAAATTTTTTTTTTTTTTTAAGAATTCTCTTCTGCTCACCAAGCCTGCATTTATTTGATCCAAAGTACAACAAAAACAGTAAAATTTTGAAATATTTTTACTATTTAAAATAACTGCTTTCTATTTGAATATATTTTAAAATGTAATTTATTCCTGTGATCAGAGCTGAATTTTTATCATTATTACTCCAGTCTTCAGTGTCACATGATCCAGAAATCATTCTAATATGCTGATTTGCTGATTATCAATATTTAAAACAGTTGAGTATATTTTTTTCAGGATTCTTTGATGAATAGAAAGATCCAAAGATCAGCATTTATCTGAAATAAAAAGCTTTTGTAACAATATACACTATTCCATTCAAAAGCTTTGGAGTCAGTATGATTTCTTTTTCTTTTTTTTCTTTTTGGAAAGAGATTATTGAAATTAATACTTTTATTCAGCAAGGATGCTTTAAATTGATCAAAAGTGATGATAAAGACATTTATAATGTTACAGGATGCAAAATAAATGTGTGTGTGGGTGGGTGTTCGCACCCTTCAACTGCCTTGACTTTGTTTGGCCCAAGCAAGGACATTTCATTTCTCATGACCAGCATCCTGCAAGTGCAATGCCTCGTGCTTTCAGTGCATGCATAAAGAGTAGAAAAAAGTTTAATATTGAAGATAACCTGCCTAAAAATAGGGAAATGCACCATTTTCAAGGATGCATGTGTGTGTACAAATCTGGCTAGACTTGTGAGGGTCAAATGTTTGAAAATATAATGACAAATATCAAAGACTTGCGCTATATGAACGGCTCATAAATCATGTTTTGCTTCAGCTCTTATAAAGTCAACAGGTTTGTGCGAGGGTCAGGTTTACAGATAAAGTCATACATTTGATTATCTTAAAATAAAAATAAAAACTACTGTCTATGAAAGGTCCTTGTATCTTCAAAAGTCAACGAGCGTATGTCAAACTGCTCTCGGTAAATCTCTGTGAAACGCGAGTCGTGAGCATCAAGTTCTGCGCGTAATTTAAAGAGCATTTCGCCTCGCCTGAAACATTTACATGGGATGTTTTTTACGGAATCACAGAGGTAATAACCAAAGTTCCTCATTTGGCCCGTGAAAGTAAAAATAGACTCGAAAATGTAATGAAATGAAGAATGGCGAGTGTCGGTCGTGCTTGCACAGCTCTCCTGCGACACACGCGCTCTCTCACACTCATACTCACTTTAGCTTTAGTGCAATCTTCTTCCTTGCCGTCCTCGATGTTTACGATGATACTGGAGCCGGCGTTGGGGCTTTCGCAGCTGGACTCGGAGGTGCTGCAGCTCACTCTGACCCGGAAAACCCGCTGGATGTGCGGGATGCAGCGCTGGAGCGCAGGGCCTGCACTGGCGGGCGCGGCGAGCTCCAAAACCATTTATCAGACGGATAAATAAGCGATCACGACGCGCTCCGGAACACTGGCACGCATTCGCCCAGCCCTGCGTCCTGCTTCATGGGTAGGGCAGCAGGGGAAAGAAAGAAAGTCACGGGAGGATGCAAGTTTGTCTGCGGCCGAGCATAACGGCAAACGTACGGGACGCGCTACATAAGCATCTATCATCCATCTCCATCCCTCCTTCTCCTCTCGCCCTCCCTTTCTCACTTCCCTCCCTCCTTCCCTACAACGGCCCCGACTGCACCCACCGCCTGCGCTTCGGCAACACGTCGGACGCCCCCTGTCGCTCCGCTCGGACGGGCAGAGCCGCAGAAAGTGCGTTTTTTGCTGCCTCCGTCTCAGCGTTTTGAAGCACGTGGGTGGACGGGACCCCGGTAATGCAGCAACCGAGGGTTAAAAATACCCCGGACGCGCTGTCCGATACGACCGCCAGACTCTAATTGTCCAGAAGGCTGATACAGTATTCAGCAGTTGTTATTATTTTGGAATCCTTTACAATCAAGTATCAGCCTATGAACAATGCCGGTAGAGTCGCCACGACTGGTCCAACTGTTAGTTTAACTATAAATCTCGGTAGCTATGTGGTAACGTTGCTGGTTTTTGGATCATGTCGCTTTTCAGTAGCGAAGGTCTGTTTAGCGATACATTTCCCTGACAATAATTGAGCTTTCAAGCCTCGTGCCTTGTATTTTCTGTTGTCTGTCTGTTTTGAATCAGAAGTGGTGATGCCCGATTCGCGAATGAATCATTCTTTTGAGTCGATTCTTTTCGATGAACTTCTCAAACGCGCTTCGCGATTCGGTCTGAATCGTTTAGTTCATTCCAGACTGAATCATTTGGTTTCTCGAAAACAATTACTGGATAATGAAGTGGATAAATTACAGAGAAGAAGTGGATATTTATCTACGAGCAATCGAAACCAAAATTGCAAATGGGGAATACAAAGACATCTAATAACATCAAGCACTCAAAGCATGAATAAATATCCACAGTTTTTGTACCGTGGAGTACCATGTAAATACCAGTGTACATAAATATGGAACTCGTTATCGTATGTACATTGATATGCTTGAGACAAGTGAAACGCTGTCATGCGAATAAGTTCAGACACCAACTGACGATATAGTTGTTTTCTGTTTTACTGGATATGTTTTTTCTTTGTTTTCTAATAAACATGTACTAAACTAAATTACAAGCGACTGTTTAATATTTCATACTTTTAAAAATATGAAGTTTCTGAAAAATAAGTTACCTTTGCCATGCACTTTTGCCTCTACCAACTGTCACTAAACGTAGGTGGTATTTTAGATGGCTACATTTTTAATGGCTTGCCCAATATTTCCTATAAGAACATATAATATGAAAATCATTAACGGCCGACAAACGTTTGTTAACGCACTCTCCCTTTAAACCTCGTCGAGGATTGTGGGAAATGTAGTCAGCGCCGTATTGCTGTTGTCCACAGCTGGTTAGCATTTCTATTGTCTTTCTTATGAGACGTGTATCCGCTACAACCTTTACCTCCTTTCTTATTCCCACAGAAGTCTCACAGTTTCACAGTCCACCATGGCGGACGAACAAGAGATAATGTGCAAGCTAGAAAACATCAAAGAAATAAGGTAAGAAAAGCTGAGATTGATCCCAAAGCAGACACGCTAGCCTGTGTTCAACATCTGGCCAATACAGCCTAGATTAAAAAAAACGGCGTATTTCCCCTTAATCATTTAATTTCATAAGCAATGCATGGATTTGCATGTTTAGGCTAAAAATAGTATGTAAAATTCCCTTTGACAGTCTCTTTGTATCTATCGGTCATGATGCAAAAGCAAAGGGCTGAAACCATAAAAACACGCAGCTTTGCACTAAATCTGAAAACACACCACACTAGTTTTGCATTAACAAAGTCTCTGATCGCACCGTTATTTTGGCGAAGATGAGTGCGATAAGCATCCTGTTGTGGTTAGACACGAAACTGTGTAGAGCAAACGGTTCATTTCCTGCGGAACAGCTCTTAATTATTTATACAAGCCTCAGACATACACATGATTGTCTGGTTTTGTTAAATATTGATGTGCACACACGGGGTCTAAAGCGTTCTGTGATCGGATCACTGAAACCACATAATATATGCCTTATTCGTTTAAAACCCACATGCGCCATATCAGAAGACTTTGCATTTGCAGTGCATTGTCATATGCTGTCATGCATTGGCTGGATGTTTACTGTGTTTTGTGTGGTTTTGCAGGAATAAGACAATTCAGATGGAGAAGATCAAATCTCGACTGAGGAGTGAGTTTGAAGCTCTGGAGTCAGAAGAGAAGCACCTGAGAGAGTACAAACAGGAAATGGATCTTCTGCTGCAGGAGAAAATGGCTCATGTAGAGGAGCTGCGTCTCATACATGCTGATATTAATGTGGTAAATACAATTTAAAAAATCATTCTCCAATATCACACATCAGGTGATAAAAGATTCATTGATTTGCACTGTTTATAATGTTTGTAGTGCACTTAATAAAATAAATATATATCCATTGCATTTACTATGACATAATGCACATATTCAAAGGTATGCAACTTATGTAATATATATGCAACTTATTAGAATATACAGTACCATTCAAAAGTTTGGTGTCGGTGAGATTTTTTTTTGTTTTTTTACTTTTATTCCTTTTATTCAGCAAGGATGCTTTAAATTGATCAAAAGTGATGATAAAGACATTTATAATGGTTTCTATTT